CCCCAAAACCCCAAAACCCCAAAACCCCAAAACCCCTCTTAGCCAAGATTTTCTTGAAATGACACGATTTATTTTTACTTCTAGTCTAGCCTGATTAGCCCAATCTGGCTCAGCATTTGTAGGTCTTCGGTTGGACTCCTGGATGGCTTGAAGGTGGACAGGGAAATTATATTCCCGGTGTGCATTTGGTCATAGTCCATATGACTAGATTGAAAGGCAGGCTTTTTGGTTGGTTTGTCAGGCTTGGAAGGATTTTGACCCTCTTTGTAGATTAAGTAGTTGTTGTAGCATGCTACTTGTTCGAAAGAGACACTTTGGTCTTCAATGTTATGAGATTGGTTTTGAATGTTTCTCTGGATATCTTGAACTTCAGAATGAACTTTTCTATGATTTATTCTTTGAACTTTTGCTTTATAGTATCTATTATGTTATTCTTATCACATACTGGTAAATAACTCTAATGCCTGCTGCTATTATTCAAATTCCACAAGCTCCACCAAGAATAATTCCAACAATTGCCCAAGTGGATATCCTCGCATCTTTTGGCCTATAAAATTAAAAACATTTTACTTTTCTATTCCTGAAACTCTTGCTCCTATTTTACCAACATTTTCAAAAATAGGAATAAATAATAACTCAATTCCAATATCTTCCTCTTTCATTACTTCCAAATCACCCCCTTGATAAGTCACCTTTCCCAAACTATCAAATCTCCTAATCATCATATAATCTTCCTCTGATCTCCTCACATAAAACTCCAAGACCCCCTCTCCTGTGATACCAACTAAACCTCACCAAATTCCTTACAAATCTCCACACCAACTCCTTCATACACCTCCTCACTAACCTTCACCTTAATCCATCACCCATTCACTGCATCTGCTCCACCAAATCCAATCTCTATTAAACCATTAACTTCTTCTACTAAATTACTATGTCCACTCTGTTCATTATCCAGTTTATATATCTGTGTTCCTCAGAGGTAGCTGTCTTGTTCTGATAAGTCGCTTGCTGTAATTGGAAGGGATTTTAGTAAGAGGGTTTATTGAAGTTGGGTTAGAGTGGGTGATGAAATTTGTAGTTGATAATATTAAAAATGCAAAAATTAACATTTTTATGGTTATTAGTAAGGTAAGGATGTACTTACATTTGAGGATGTCTTCTCCTTTGACTGGTATTAGAAAAAGGATTAATAAGATCAAAATCTGTGATATTTTTAGATATTTCGACAATAATATATCAAAATTCTTCCATAAACCTTCCTGATATCTTCATTGATTATTTTACTTCTCTAGCATCTTTATTATCAACCCCTAAATTACAAAATCACATCAGAATAAAATTTTACTTCAAAAACCCAAAATACCTCAAAATCGCTATTCCAACTCTCCCAGCCCAATCCAGCCCCAAAACCCCATTCCCTCTAAATCCTCACTCAAATAATCACCAAACACAGCTTCCACCAAAACCTCCATCCTACTAACACCCTAAAACCCTTTAACCCCAATCCTCAAATTCCAGTCAGCCCTCCTCACTTCTACGTAAAACTCCTTTCTCTTTCTTCTGAATTCCTACCTGTTCTTCCTTCTCAAGATTCTGTATGCTGGTCTCTTCGTTCCATATCAATACTCATTTTTATTATTTCAAAAAATCCTCTAACTCACGGGGTTTTGGGGTTTTGGGGTTTTGGGGTTTTGGGG